AGTCTTATGTTATTCTTCTTTGCATTGTCTAGCAGCTGCTGGATTGATTTCTCATGGTCCCTTACAATTTTAAAGCAATTTTTCTTTTCCTGGTCACTAGTTGCAATCTCATATTCTATATCTGAAATTCTGTCCTCACATTGGCTCATTCTGCTGTGTAGACTTTCAGTGGAGAGTTTAATCTCTGGAAATCTGTTTGCATCTGTTTCATGTTTTCCATTTGTTTCCTATATTGGCATTCCATCATGTTCCTCAGCACCTCTCTAGATTCGTTAATCATGTCTTGCACTATGGGCACCATCTCTGCTGTTACCTGAGAAATTATTTCTGATTTCATTTTTTTCCAGATCTTCTTTTGTTGCCAGTTCAGGGAGTCCAGGTGGTTGAATATCAGTATTCCATCTCTTTTCCCTTTGGGGTTACTGTAGGTGATCTGGAAGTCTGGTTTTGAGGCTTGTTTACATGTTTTCTCATTTTGACAGGGAGGGCGGATGCTGATGGTGCCTGCGAGGCTCACCTCCTCTGTGCTGGGAGCAGTGGCACATTGGCCTGGAAGCGTCCTCCTCTGCACTCGGGGTGGTGGCCGGAACTACAGGATTTAATTATCTTGTAGGATTTTGGTCTTGCTTTGCTCCCATTCCTTTCTATCTTACTAATTGTACCTATTGAAATGGGAATGTTTATCCTGTGCCATTGTAACTTTCATTTTTATGGGGGCACAAAGCTAAGAGTTTACCTTAAATCTCAGAGACTTTGGACTGGACTTTTCAGCAATTCTAAAACTATTAGGACTTTAGAAATCTTGAGATGGACTAAATGCCTTTTGCATAAATAATGCACATGAGTCTTTTGGAGTTCTGGGGCAGAATGTTATGGTTTATATCTAAAATATCTTCCAAAGCCTCATGCACTTAAAGGCAAGGCTTTTGGTAGGTGATTGCATTATGGGTTTATAGCTGCCTTCTTGTTAGGTCTTCAGAAAAGGTGGGTCACTGGGGGCATGGCCTGTGTCTATCTCTTCTGTTTCTTGTTCTCCTCTCTCTCTCTCTGCTTCCAACTGCCATGCCATGAGCTGACTCCTCTGTGATGCCCTTTTGTCATGCTGCTCCTCCTTGGGGCCAGCCAGCTATGGATTGAAACAAACTCTGAGCCAAAATAAACTTTTCCTCATTAGAGTTGTAGGTGTTGGGTTTTGTGTCAGCAACAAAGGAAGTAACTAAGCAAGTTACAGAGCAAGACCAGTTTCACAGAGTGGCTACTCCTTTTTTATCTTTTTAATATCATTGAAGAAGAGAAACATTCTCTCTGTACCCTCTTAAAAGTTTTATTGAGGGCTGGGGATTTAGCTCAGTGGTTTCGCCACCTGCTGCGCAAGCACGAGGACCTGAGTTTGATCCCCAGTACCAAAAAAAGAAGAAAGGATATCATACTCCTTGATTTGTAGTTTTTCTGCTGTCTGCCTTGCAAGTGCAAGAACGTGAGTTCAATCCCCGGTACAAAAAAAAAAAAAAGTTTTATTGAGATATAATTCAACTGTTTAAAAGGTATACTTCCATTTAAATGCTTCTATTTTCACAGAGTTGTACAACCATCACCACAATCTAACTGTAGAACATTTTCATAATCTATTCATGGGAATTGTAGCAAGAATGAAAGGATGTTGGTTATACTGCATCTTTATTATAATAAAAAAGCAATGATGGCTGGACACAGTGGCCTACTCCTGTAGTTCAAGCTTCTCAGAAGGCCAAGGGATGAGGATCACTTAAAACCAGGAGTTTGAGGAAGCACAGACAACATAGCAAGACACCATCTCTTAAAAAGTGGAGGGAGAAGGGGGATGTAGCTCAGTAGTGCTTGCCTGTCCTGAGGGAAGACTTGAATTCAATCCCCAACACCACAAAAAAATAATGGCAGTGCTGATGATATGGGAAGGAGGGAGGCAGAGGAAATACAGAGGAAATAAGAATGAATCCTTAGTTGAAGCTGGGTGATGGGTACTGTACTTAAAATCATTCTATTTTATATATAGATTTAAATTTTTCTATAAGTGAAAAACAGGACTTGGGCCAATCCCTTGGAAAGCCTTCATTCTCTTGATGTATCCCATTACTTGTTTTGAAAACTTCAGCCTGTTAGGGCCATTTCCCTCAAAATTTTATTTGAGGCTTACATGTTTGAAAGACCATATTGTTTATTTATTTATTTTGGTACCAGGGATTGAACTCGGGACCTTGTGCTTGCAAGGTTATCGCTGGGACCACTGAGCTAAATCTCTGGCCCCTGAAAGACCGTATTGTAATCTATCTATTTACCACTCAGTAATAGAACATATTCTTCCAGTACTTACAAATCTTTCTCGTTCTCCTAAATTGTTACATAGTATAGCAGCTTGGAGAACCTCTTCTCCCTTCCTGCTTAGTTTCTTTTCTCCTATATCAGAGTGTTTGAAAAACACTCTGGATTAAGTAAGAGAAGTATGTTGAGGAAGATGGTTATAGGCTGAGGAAATGTAGAGACTTACAGGAGGGAGAATGAAACCTCTTATGACCTTCCATATCATATTTAGTTGCTTGTGCTCTAAAAAATGTAAGATCACTCCTAGTAACTTTTATTGGTTGGGGGGTGGAGAGAATGGGATTGAACCTAGGGCCTTTGGACTGTTTCTTACCCAGCCCATGTTTACCACTCCTTCTTTTTGGTACTAAGGAATTGAACCCAGGACCTTCACACTAAGCTATCTCTTCAGCCTGTATTTTATTTTCTGAGACATCTTGCCAGGTCGCGCAGGTAAAACTTGAACTTGCCATCTTCCTGCCTCAGTCTCCCAAAGTTCTGGGATTACAGCCATGTGTCACCACACCCAGCTTCCAAAAATTTTAAAAGTATTTATTTTGAAACAGGGTTTCACTGTCACTAAATTGTCCAGGGTGGGCTTGAACTTTGCAATCCTCCTGCTTCAGCCTCCCAGAGTGCACAGATTACAGGTGTGCCTCACCACACCCTCTTGTGATTCTTTCAATGGAGAGCTAAGGCTTTTTTCTTGGGATTTGAGTCTTTTGAAGTCCCTTGTTTTTTCTTGGGGGAAAAATCATTAAAGTGCATTATCTTTTTTGTTAGTCTCATAGTTGTCTTTCTCATACCCATTTTTAATAAATGAAAATGTAAATTAAAATATTAAGGACTTATCTTTACAAGGTTTTTGCAAAAACGCAATACTCTATACTCACTGGCTCATGTGATAATTAACTAAATGATATAATAAAGATATTGTGCCTATGAGGAGGTTATTTGGATGATGGTTAAGAAAGCTTCAGTCACAGATGCGATTAGGAATTAGTGCAGAGCCTGGGCAGGTACAACTCAAACTTGAAATCATTACGATTGACACACTTGTTATACAAGTGTTAAAGATGTCCTCATATCCCTAGTCCCCCAAAAGAATAAAACCAAACACAAATGACACACTAAAAATGCTTTGCAATGTATGACTATCAAATGACTAGTGTCTTTAATTTCCAACATCTCGTAAGTGTAAAATGTTACATCATTTTATATTAAAAAGTGAACAACAGATACTGCTATGGATGTAAGACAAAAAAATACAAGGGACCAATAAAGATATGAAGAGCTACTTAATCTTTACACACAAGAAATGAGTGTCAAAACATTTCATCTATGAGATGAGCAAGTAAATGAAGTTTGGTAACAGTTATGATTAAGAATGTGGAGAGTTTTTTGCTTTGGCTGGAACATAAACTGGAATAATTGTCTGCAAGAAAAATTACACAGTATTTATTGATATGTAAAAAAGCAGGTGCTGTATGATCTAGCAATCCTCCTGCTAGAAATTTATCTTATACACATACAGCAATGACTAACAAAATCTGCGTAAGGATCATCATAGCAGCATTGTTTGTATGACCCAAACTGGAAATAAACTGAGCATCTATCACAAAATTGTTATGGTATATTCATATGATGGAGTACTAGGCAATGATCTAAAAGAATGAAGACCTAAATATGCTGATATGGAAATATTTCAAGGTGAAAAAGCAAGTTGCTGAACATACTGTTTAACCTTGCTGGCATTAACAAAATGTATATGTATATGCAAATACTGAAAAACATGCCCTCCTTCCAAAGAACAAGGAATTGAAGAGGCTGCCATTGATTTGAGGGGGTTTTTCTTAGGGATAGGGCATGGGGGAAGAGGCTGTTACAAATCATTCCGGATTTTACAAGGGTTTTTTCTTTTTCTGAGATGGGATCTTGTTATGTTGTCCAAGCTGGCCTTGAACTTTTGAACTCCTGGGTAAAAGCCTCTTGCCTCAGCCTCCTGAGTGGCTGAGATTACAAGTGTGCACTACCAGGTCTGGCTTTCTCATAATGGATTTTTATTATATCCATTAAGAACAGAGACATAGAATAGTCATAAATCTTTATTTTTGTCCTAGTTACCTAAGTGATTATTTTCTTTCAGATAAAATGGCATACTTGATTGCACCTTGGGGAAGATGTGATCAGGCTGATCTCAGACCTATAGACACAGATTTTCTGAGTGACAAGGTCTTACATAAGTGTTAGTAGAATAAAAGTACTGGTGTTGGGAGAAGAGAGGAATCAACAATGGCTAGTGGCCACAATGCAGGAGATTCTCTTCAGACATATTGTAATTTTCTAAATCCCTTTTAATTCCTACTCACTCCCTTCATTCAGATACAACCAGTATGCAAACCAGTAATCCTGAAATCAATTTCCTGCTTATCATTCTCCCCATACTTCTTAAGTGATTACATAAGTTAGAAAAGCCCAACAAAAAACTCCCATAAAATAATCTTTTTTTTTTTTTTTTTGGCACTGGGGATTGAACTCGGGACCTTGTACTTTCGAGGCAGGCAACGGATCCACTGAGCTAAATCCCCAGCCCCCCATAAAATAATCTTGAAAAACTCCTACACTTTAGATTACTAAAGTACATCTTTATTTTGCAATTGAACATTAAGAGTCACAGCTAGTTTTTATCACGTTTGTACCTGAACAACTACTTTTCTCAAAATGAAATACTGCCAATAATATATGTGTAATAGTATTTCACATAGTATAAATTGCTTTTAGGACTAAAACAGTTTCAATTCAAACTAGTATTTTTATCCTGTTTGCTTTTGGTATTTGTAGATCTTTAAAAAGAAACATGAATGGCAGGAATTCTAGTTTTTTCACTGAAAGTAAGACAAATTCACAAGGCCTTTCAAGCACACAGTAAGCTGCAGTGACAAATGCATAGTAAGAATCTCAAAGTATCCAGTGTTGACCAAATTCAAGCTTACAGATTTTAAGTTAACCCTTAGCTTCTTCGCTTAATTATGAGAATGAAATAGTGAAAAAGATATTTTTTGTTGAAATGAGAAAAGGTAGTCTAAAAAAATTAAGAGACTAATTCCATCTTGCTATTAGCTCAGTAGAAACATCAAATGGCAACAGAAATGTAAAATATTTTAATCAGGAAGTAAACTAGACTTTTAACTAAGCAAATTTCCCCTTCATATTTACATATAGCACCTATTACAAGAAAATAATCCCAAATTAAAATATCCTCTACATAGAAATAATTATTTTCAAAATTTGTTTAAAAATATTGATGAGTACACAGTAAGCTATCAGTCCTAAAATTAAACCTACACTGTAGAAAATGACTAGCTTTTCTTATTTGATAAGATTACAATAGATCATAATTGTAATGTTCCGATGCTAGAGAACACGGGGTTGGGCAGTTTTATTTTTTAAAGCAGATATATTCTACTGGCAGAAAATGAAAACAGCTCAATGTAAACTGTTTTAGCCTCTTATGTCTTGCCCTTTGTCACATATATAAACTGTCAGAACTTCTGTCCCCTCAAACTTACTGATGATAAGTATCTATTTAACTCCTAGGTATTACAATGAAAACAGGTTTCCAAGTATTCACTTAACATACACAAGATGCAAAGCAGAAATGGTTATAGTAAACCAAACTTGGTTGAAACTAGCTGAGACAACTCAGAATCTAGCAACACAATCAACTGGATGGCCTTTATTATACTATGTAAGTTACAGAAAGGTGGCAAAGCTAAAATCGTACAACTTACCTTTTATATATCAAATAAGCTATGAAGAGATCATGTGAAGTATTTAAACTTGGGTCCAATCTAACGAGCTCCAATACTAATCAAATTTCTTCTGTATTTACAAAACTTCTAGGATAATTATATTTTTAAATGTATAAATTAAGTCAGTAGTAAGCATGAAATAAAGTGCTACTATTTGAAATTCAATAAACCAGTCTTAGCACTGAGATTTGAACTATTCTACAGAATTAAAAAAATCAAATAATCTTGCCAACTCACTTAAGGTTAAGACAAGATGGGTACCAAGGAATCATAGGACTGGAATGAAATTTTCTTGTCCAGAAAAGCAAGTAACTGGGACATTAAAATTCAAGAGTAGAAACCAAAATGCTTCATCTGATAAAAGGTAAAATAGTCTCAATTGTGACTACAGTGGATATGGAGAAACCATGAATCACCAACTGTTTGGGCCTAAGGACTGAGCAGGGCTATCTCCTTCTTAGTGGCTTCCTGGTTATAATTTTATGGTAAAATTTGGAAATTCCAAGGGTTGAGGGAATCTGACACTAAATTTCCTAATAGCTGTAGCAAAAGTTAATGAAGAAAGATATCATTTAGTTGTTCAGGGTATTTACTTCATATGAGAGTTAAATTAGTGATTTTGAAAAAGTTGGGAGAGTTGGATATAGGTGTCAACATAGCAAGTCCCAATTAAATCACGTTTAATGAATGATTTACTAAATACTACTACCTTTTAACAGAACTACTAAACAATTTCATCATGTCTGTAGAGGTTAGTTTAAAAAGGTTTTTTTGTTCAGCTGAATTAATAAACTTTTAAGCACAGAAAGCACCACTGCTACAAGTCTGAGTTGGGTTCAGTGGCCTTATGCATCTATGACATGATAATAAAAGGGCAAAACCATTTATCATATCAGAGGCTTCTGGACACATTACTGCAGTGAATCTTAGGCACAGTTTTCTGGCTTCACCAAAGTCAAGTTCTCACAACAATGCTGCCACAGTGACAAAGCTTGGGAACTTTCCTCCCTAGTAGATACATAACAGCAGCATGTTTATCCTCACACACAAACATTCTTCCACACCCTAGAAGTCTAGAATTTAAATATTTTACACTTAAAAACAGTATGTGCAAAATTTTCTGGAAACTTTCTAATCTTGAGCCAAAGCAAAAGAATATGACAAAGAATGCACATTATACTTGAATGCTTCAATAATGATTACTCTTGTTTATATAAAAATTATTTTTTAAAATTGCATTTTGTGTAATGACATATTCTTTCCTTTCTTTTTTCCAATGCTTTGCAGACTTTCTCAACCTGTAAGAGTATCCTTAAAATCAAGTCATAATTCTAACATTTGAAAGATACATTCATTTTCTCTATAGCATGAAAAACATACAAATATCATTTTATCCCTTTAAACAATGAAATTAAAGAATTGACAGTTTCAATCTTTTGTCCATAGAAAAATATTTTATCATTTACAGAACGACAGGAAAACTCCACAGTGTTTAACTGAAACTTTGATGAATGTAACAAGGCTTTCAAACATTTTCATTCTTGTAGCAGAAATTTTAAAAGGTTTCAGGAAATTAAATGTTTGAACTCTTCCATAAAATTGCAGTCTTTAACTTGCAATACTGGTAGTAACTTTCATTATATAAATTAAAGAAAAAGATGGTTTACTTATGTATGCATTGAACCATGTCTAACCAATGCTGCTGGACTATACCCCAGCAGATATTATTTCTAGCTGCCCATTTAGCCTGCATGACCAAAATAAAAACTTCAGAATCAACAGTATTCTACAGTAGAAAAACATAAAAATAAGATAGCAGCAAAGATATATATGGAAACATAAACATTTTAGTATCTACCTAAAACAAATTTACCAAGACTCTGCATTTTTGGCAAAATAGGGGTTGCTGTTTTTTTTCTGATAATATTAAAAGACATTATTATAATTGCTACTGAGAATAAATGAAGTCTACATGCAATAGAAATTATGTTAATAGTTGTAAGTGTGTTAAAAGAACCCAAAACATATGATTTAGGGATTAATTTCTTGGGCTGTTAAAATTGCCTAAATTATCTATTAGCAATTTTTTCTCAAAAATGTTTTAGGATTATATAAATTCCCTTGAATCTATACAATTCTCTAACAATTTTATAAAGTAGGTGGTATAACTTGTGTAGTAATCACATTCAGACACCAATAAATACGTCCCACAGATCACTAATTCCAGTATTTGTTATATTAATTACATGTAACAGAATAAAATAGCTATTTCATTTGGAGGAAGACACAACAAATGGTTCCAGAAATTGTGGCTAGCTGAAACAAATGTGGGAAGTAAGCAGTATTAAAATAAAGTATGTATTTTACTAATGTGGCAGCTTATAGAAAAGCATGTGGTGGCATCATTTATCTATGTCTTGTCATTTAGATGTTTGTCCCAACAAATATTTACCATAATGTATTTACTATAAGTGATTTAAATTCAAATTAACAAACTATAAAATAACTGCTAGAAAAGAATCTGTAAACATATCCACATTATTGTGGTATAAATAATTTTTACAAATTCAAAACTACTTTGGCAACCTTACCATCACAATATTTAAAACATTCAAAATAGATAATAGCGCACTGTTATAAATTCATGTTTCTTCTCCTTCCTGATAAGAGTATAAAACAAGTAATGCTTTAATTCTATTAGTTCACTTATGAATATAAATTATTTAATTATGAGGATGTATGTTCTAAATCTTAGTTCTGTTTTAAATGCTTTTAAAAATTAAGTCTTCACTTGCAGTTCAGGGTGTTTTCCCACAGCATACGTATTAGCCTAACTACTTAACAAAAGCTTATGCTTTCTCTCAGGGAAGCATAACTAGCAAAATGGAGTTAGGGTCCTAATTAGGATCATTTTGGAAACCTATTTATTTTCTAACTTAAGTGACATCTCCTAAAGTTGTCATAGTTATGAAATGAAAACACTGCCTGAGCAACTTCTCAAGTTCAAATAAACAAATTTACAAGAATTTGATATTCACATGGGCTACAATTCACTGAAGTTCTAGTATAATAAAAAGAACATTAGATTGAAAATTAGAAAACTTTTCCCTTCTTGTCTTGGCAGGCTACATAAAGGAAAATTTTCTTAGGCTGTTTACTTGGCTTTGATTAGAAACGGACGCACTGGTTTAACAAATACAACCAGTTCTTGAGAATGCAAAGCCTATTCCAAAATATTCTTCATCCTATGTACACAGTGCTGATACAAATCAAATACTCAATAAAATGCTTGAAATGAACACAGAAAAACTACCCTAAATCAGAGAGGGAAGTAGTTTTTCATTAACACTCCTTAGCATTTATAAAAGCCTCCTGATTCACAAATAATTATTTCCACTTTGAGTATATGGGCGCATGGGGGCAGCTGTGACTAGAGGAATTGGGGCAGTAGTTTACATACGAGAAATTTGGCATTTTTATCAATCAGTATTACCTTGTGGATGGAGTCTAGAACTACTGGGTTTATGAAAGCTAGCATTATTTCTAGAAACCTATTTAGATTAGTAAGCAAGTTAAAAAATTCTTAGGTTTAATGGATAAAGTTTTATCTGCTTGACAGAGAAGCTTAATTAGCATATTCATTTTAAGGAGTTCTGAAAGATAATTCATTTTAAATTTAAGTGAGATCCTGATAAATATGCCTTTATAAAAGGATCTTTTTCTGTACATGAAAATACTGATACAGGGTACCTTCCAGATGAAAAATTCGTGCATGAGAAATTTGAATGTAATTCTATATTTCAAATATATTGTCATTTCAAGATGGGGGTTAATGATTAAAAAGGGAGCTGCACTCATTGCCAACAATTACACTCAACCTCAGAAGTATAAACAAAACCCCTAAATTAAAGACAATCATCTTTTATGTCTACACAACTGTTACCTTTTTTACTTATTGTGTCATATTCTGTCCATAGTCAAAACTGACAGATTTTATTTTTTAAATTTAGGCCAAAACAACTGTCAAAAGTTTTTAAATATTCAGACCCTAAACATGGTTTTTCTTTTTCACTTTTAATTTGTAATAGTGTTACATCGGCCTAAATTAATGTTGGTAGAGAATGGAATGTTAAATAAAGTAAGACTACAGTTAATTTATTATCTTACATTGTCTTGAGTATGAAATCAGGAAATATGTAAGAGAATTTCTCTTTGACATAAAGGTTATGTTTCTCTCTTTTAAAATAGACAAAATATTTTAATATGACAATTTATTTGATATCTTGGGTGTTAATGTTAGGAGCTTAACTTTCTAGAATTTATTATTGTGGATTTTTAAGAGGTGAAATGACATCATCTAGGTTTACTAAAGATTTTTAAATCGTATCAATTTTAACCATATCCATATAAAATAATCATGTAAGAAGCTGGGGATGATTGACACATGCCTGTAATCCCAGCTCTCAGGAGGCTGAGGCAGTAGAACTGCCATAAATTCAATGGCAGCCTGGGCTATCTAGTGAGTTCAAGGCCAGCCTGAACTACATAGGGAGACTCTGTCTCAAAAAGCAAAACAAAACAAAAAAATTACACCAAAACAACAAAACCCCAAACAAAAATCAAATAATTATGTAAAATAATGATTGAGTAGGTGGGCAAATGTTCACTTATATTAAACTGGACAATTTAAAGTTCTATCTCACTAGACTTAAAAACAGAAAAACTTGTCAAAAATATACTCATCCTTGATGGGACTCAGATCCTCTCAAGCTGGACAATCAAAAGTCTCCTTACCAACATGCTTATAACTTAAAAAGTATATATAAGCTAGAGTAATTTAAATGTACACAAAAATAATAAGAAAACGCTCATTTTTGTTTTTGAGGGGTCACACTTAGAAATCAGTCAATAATATTTAATTCCTTGTTTGAAGAAACCCAACCAAAGACTAGTGCAGAAAAAGCTTGGTATTAACTGAGTACTGAAGAGCAATACTTTAGTTATGGATAGGAATAAATCACAACTATTTAATTGTTCTCTAACTTTAGCTTAGAGTATCAATATTTGTCTTGAACATACATGTTACACGCCATTTCTAAAGTTAGAAATAAAATAAATATGAAACTTGAAGAATAAGCTGAGCTGCTAAACTGTAACCCCTGTCCCTCAGTAAAGGAATGTTTGGATTTTGAACAATTCCATAACAGCAGGACATGAACTCAGTAGAACACAATTTTAACTCTGCTTCTTATAGCAAAATATTAAGTACTGAGTAAGAAACAGAATTTCTTTACCCTTTTTTCACTGCATAACTCTCAATACAAGAAGCTGTTTTTTTAAAAATGTGAACTTATTCAAAATGCATAAAAATGTCAGAATGTACAATATACATACACACCTCCTAGTGGGGTCAAATGAGTGCCTTTTCATTAGACATACAATGAGATCTCAAGGCACTTAAGGGGTTAAGACAATGCATGCATTCTTTTACATCAAGTATGTGAAATCACATGATTTGGAATAAGCCAACCATAAGATAAATATAAATTATATTATTAAATCCAAGAAAATTTGTAGATTCATATTTTACTTTCTATAAGATGCTGGTAAATGGACAATATGCAGCATTTCCTGGGAATAGTAACAAATTCCACCTTTCTTCTTCTGAACAGCAGGTCTCTACTCGGGGGGCAGGGTTGTAGGGAAAGATGTGCTGCATCCATAGGCAGTGTATTGGCTAATATGGAGAATGATATTGCTAAAATTTTAAAAATAAAATCTGGTAATCAGTATTAGTAGGTACATAAACCACCAAAAAAGACCAGAGCTGACTTGTGATGTTTACTTCTTTTTGCTTTCAAGATACAGGTGTACACCAGAGATGAGAATTCTGAGCCTTGTTTGTGGCAATTCTACCAGAAGGGGACTGCATGGCACCACCACAAAATTTCATAAATTACCCTGAACATACTCAGTTATTCACTATTTGTTCGGAGCAAAGCATGAAATAGTCTTCAAACACATGAATTATAGATTTTGAAAGAGTGACATTTTTAAACAATAAAGTGCAACAGTGCTGAAGTTTTTCAAAGTTTTTGTGAGTTCTTTTTTTTTTTGAGATGCCATTTCCTGTGAGCAGTGTCATGGCACAGTAAATATAATGAGAAGTAGTTTTCCAACACATATCCCAGAACTTTTGTTTTCTTATTTATTTTATGATGGTGTTAAGGGTTTAACAAAGCCTTCTTCATAAACTTTCAAAATAGCTTCACATACAAATCTGTATTGACTCTGAAAAATAAAATACAAAAAATAGAATTAATCAGAAACATCAGAATACACACACGTGTGCCAAACAAAAGCAAAATACCCCCAATCTTAGTTAGCACTTGGCTTGCTTAAAAAGGAAATGCAGAATGAATTAACATTAAGATACAATTTTTTACCAAAAGATGGGACAAAAGTAAAAGTGCAACATATTTTATTGACAAAATTCACCTACACATGACTGGTATGGATGCAAAATACTACAAACTCTCTGAAGAAGAATTTGCAAACATTTAACAAAATACATTATTACTTCTTTTTTCTTTTTTGGCACCAGGGATTGAACTCAGGACCTTGCCCTTGTGAGGCAGGCAGGGATGCCACTGAGCTAAATCCCAGCCCCATTATTACTTTTTGACACAGCCATCCCACTTGCAGGAACATATCCAAAGGATAAACTAGAAAAAGAAACTGAAAACACATATTGACAGATGAGGCTGTTTACTTGATTATTTATAACAGAAAAGTTACAAACAGTTCAAACTGTCATCAGTGAAAGTTGGGGTAAGTAATCTGTATCTCAGTGAAAAGGAAAAAAAGTTCTCCATACAGACTACTATACAGGATTGCAGAATATTTTAAGTAAAAAAATCAAGGTATATAAAGTTTGTATAACAGAATATTTTTGTAAAATAAAGGGGAAAATATAACTATCTATATCAGTTTAGCTTTTTTTGGGTGGTGGAGGTACTAGAGATTGAACCCAGGGCTTTCTCACTGACCCACAACCCCCCTTTTCTCCTTTTCTTTTCTTTCTTTCCTTTTTCTTTCTTTCTTTCCTTTCTTCTCTCTCTCTTTCTAACTTTCTATTTATTTATTTTTTTGCTTAAATTATTTTATTGGTACATTTTAGATATACAATATGTTTATATTTATCATTGGGTGCTTGTACCTGTACATGATGTATCTTAGTCCTTATTTTTTCCCCATTAGCTGTGGACCCTTCATCCCCTCCATCCTTCCCTATTTACATAGACTGTTTCCATTTTTTTCTTTTCTCATAATTTTTCCTTTTCCTTCTTTGCTTTCCCCTTCCCCTCCCACTTCCTCTACCCCTCTGGACCTTTTCTTCCTATTTCAAATTATCAATTATTCATTTTAATCTTTATTTACACTTTCAGTTTCTCACACTAGAGAAACTACTCAGTATTTATACATGTGTCCTATTTATTTCACTTAAAGAGTATGGCCTCAATATGCATCCATTTAGCTATAAATGTCTCTAGTTTCTTGTTCTTTATGGCTGAGTAGTACTCCATTTTATAAAAAAACCCACATCTTCTTTATCCAGTTTCCAGCTGATGGGCACTTGGGTTGTTTCCAAGCTTTAGCTATTACGAACTGTGCTGCTATAAACATGGGTGCACATATATCACTGTGATATGATTCTTTTAATTCTTTTGGGAAGATACCCAGCAGGGGAATAGCGGGGTCAAGACAGTTTCTTGCTAAACTGCCTAAATTGGGCTTGAATTTGCAAACCTCTTGCCTCAGGCTACCAGAATGCTGAGATTACAGGTGTGTAGCACTACTTCCATTAAAAAAATAAAATAAAACAAACAAATAAATAAAGCAAAGATAAATAATTTAAAAATGGTTTCTTTTTTTGGTACCGGGGATTAAACTCAGGCCCTTGTGCTTGCAAGGCAGGCGCGGCATCACTGAGCTAAATCCCTGGCTTTAAAAATGGTTTTTTAGGGGTGGGGATTTAGCTCAGTGGTTTCTGTGCCTGCCTCGCAAGGGCAAGGTCCTAAGTTCAATCGCAGGTACCAAAAAAATAAAAAAAATAAAAAAAATAAAAATAAAATAAAAATGTTTTCTCATAAAGACATAGACTGAAGAGGAAGCATGAGGCTGGACTTCATTAAATACATTTTTCTTATTTTCCAGATTTTACTTTAGAACTATGTATTATTTTATACCTTTATATTTTATATTAATTCTAAAATTAATTTTTAAAATTTCTAAATATTGAATATATAAAATAAAAGTGTATATTTCTAGTTAATGGCATAACCACATAAAGGGGAGTTATTCCAAGGGACTTTATGACACTAGCTCTTGGAGGATATATCTAAACGTAAAAAGAAGTGTGAAAAAATTAAAAACTATCTTTAGTAGCTACACTGTTGTCCTGTTAATGTCGTCATTTTGAAACTGTTGGTGTGCAATTTGAAATAAAACAACAGAGTACTTATGTTATTCTAAGTCTTTCATTGTTGGTATTGAAGAAAGCCAATATTCTTGCTAAAGGAGATAAAAGTATCAGAGGTGCTAAGTAAAACCACAGAATCAATATTAACTTATCACATATATATTTTCCTAGCTCTGGCAATTGAACATTTCAGGAAGAGCTGGGGGAAATAGCTCAGTGTTAGAATGTTTACCTAGCATTCATGAGCCCCTGGGTTCTATCCAACCCTGCAAAATCCAAACAACAATCAAACAACAAAAAACTGTAGTAAATTTTATGATTATGTGTATTTTACAATTAAAAAGAGAAAAAAAAAACCTATTATGAAAGAATGTAGCTGGGCCTGGTGGCACATGCCTGTAATCCCAGCATTCAGCAGGCTGATGCAGGAGAATCTCAGTGAGTTCAAGGCCAGTATGGGCTACACAGTCAGTTCAAGCCCAGCCTGAACTGAAATTTTACAATAAAGCCATATTAATCATAACAGTAGAATAAGCCCAGACTGCATAGTGAGACTGTCTCAAAAAAAAAGAAAAGAATATAGATTGAAAAGCAAAAAACTCAAGAAACTGTTAGCAAATCAAATAAAGCAACACATAAAAGTAATTGTACATTAAATTGAGGTGATATTTATCTCAGGAATGCAAGGTCAACTTAACAACCAAAAATGTAACACACCAAAAATATGATGCATCACAAAAATGTAAGAATAAAACTCCCATATAATCATTTCAGATGCAAAAAAAATTTTTTGAGAAAATTAAACACCTTTTCAGGACTGAAATACTTATCAACTAGTACAGAGGAAGTTCTTTAACCTGGTAAATAGCAAAAACTCTTGTTTAACATTTCTAGTGGTGGAAAACCAAAAGCCTTCCTGATAAGATCAGGAAAAGTGTTTTGGCCTCGCTACTTGTTATGGTTTAAATACGAAGCATCTCCAAAGACTCATGTATGGAGTGCTTGATCCCCAGTGTAGCATGCTCTGAGGTGGGCCCTAAAGAGGTGACTGGTTTAGGAGAGCACTAACCTCATCAATCCATTGTTTATAGCTGAATGGGCTATTAGGAGGTGAGGTTTAGTTGGAAGAAGTAGGTCAGTAGGGGCTAGGCTTTGAAGGATATATCCTGTCTCAGTTCTTTCCTCTTTCTTGTACTCTTATTCTCTCTCTGGTTCCTGGCTGCCATGAGGCGAACAGCCTTCCTCTGCCACACCCTTCCACCATGTTTCTGACTCACCACAAGCCTAAAGCAATGGAGTCAGCTGAACATGGACTGAAACCTCTGAAACCATGAGCTGAAATAAATCTCTGCTCTTTTAGGTTATGTCAGAAATTTTTTCCCAGCAGTGAAAATACATCACTTCCATTCAACACTGTACTGGAGGGTTCTAGGCAGGATACTTATGTGGGGGGAAAAAAAGGGAAAGGAAGAAAAAAAGGTATCTAGATTGAAAACAATAGCTTTTAGCAAGGTTGTAGGATATATGATCAGTAAATAAAATCAACTGCATCTCTATGCCTTTGCAGTGAATAGTCCAAAAATGAAATTAAGTAAACAATTCCATTTACAATACCATCTAATGACAAATTCTTATGAATATAACAAAAGAAGTATAAGACTTGTGTATTAAAAGCTACAAAACACTATTGAAAGAAATTAAAGACCTAAATAAACAGGACAATCCTGTTGTAGTTTGGAAGATACAAGTATCATCAATAAAGCAATACTTTCCAAACTGATCTACAGATTCAACGCAATCCCTCCCAAAATTCTAATTGGCTATTTTTGCAGGAGGGACAAATTGATTCTAAAATTCATATGGAAATGCAATGGACTCAGAAAAGTTAAAACAATTTTGAAAAAGAACAAAGTTGGATATTCATATTTCTTGATTTTAAATTTTACAATAAAGCCGTATTAATCATAACAGTAGAATAAGCCTAAGAGTAGATATTCATATCAATGGAATAGAACTGAAAGCCTAGAAATAAATCTTTATATTTGTGGTTAACTGATTTTTTGAAAGAGACCTGAGACAACTAAAGAGGAAAAAACAGATTTTTCAATAAACAGTGTTGGGACAACTGGATAACCACATGCAAAGTAGTAAAGCTGGAATCCTATCTCAAAAATATACATAAAAATTAACTCAAAACAATAGTCCTAAGTATGAGATCAAACAATGTAAAACTCGGGCTGGGGATTTAGCTCAGTGGTTCTGCCGCCTGCCTCGCAAGCGTAAGGACCTGAGTTTGATCCCCGGTACCAATTAAAAAAATAAATTAAAAAATAAATAAATAAAATAAATAAAAATGTAAAACTCTTACAACATTTACATCTTTGTGGGCTAAGTAATGATTTCTTAGATATAACATCAAAAAGCAAGCAAGCAATGAAGAAAAATATAGGTAAACGGGACTTCATCAAGATTTAAAACTTCTGGGGACAGGGATTTAGCTCAGTGGCACCACTCCTGCCTCACAAGTGCAAGGTTCCTGAGTTTGATCCCCAGTACCAAAAGAATAAAAAAAAATTTAGAACTTTTGTGCTTCAAATGCTAAAATCAAAGTGAAAAGACAGATAAAAAATGTTTGAAAATCATAATTTGGTAAGGGACTTCTATTCAAAAATATATAAACCAGTGATAATTTTAAAAAAGGAAAAAGATTTGAACAGTTGTCCCTACAATAGCTGAATACAGAATTATTATATGATCCAACAATTCTACTCCTGTGACTACCCAATATAAATGAAAATGCATGTTCACACAAAACCATACATATAAATTTTCATGGAAGCATTATTCATAACATCTAGAAAGTGGAAACAACCCAAAGGTCCATCAATGGGAGAATAAATCAAATATGTTATAGCTATACAATGGAAAATTATTCAGCAATAAAAAGAATGAAGTACTGATCCATACTAATATTATGCTAATTAAAAGAAGGAAAACAGACCAGACTATATGGTTGTATTCATGTGAAAACATCCAAAACAGACAGAGGTTAGTTTTTGCCTAGGCTGCAGGTAAGTTGGATGTTAAGGAGGTTACAGGGCAAAGAGGAATAATTACTATGTGTGGAATTTTTTGTGGGGTGATGAAAATATTCTAAAATTAAATATAGTAGTGGTTGTGAACCTCTGTGATACACCACCAAAAGGAATGCTAAAGGGGTAAAATTTGTAGGTGGGTTTATATTTCAATAAAGCTGTCTCAAAGAAAAATGCTATGATTTATATGAAACAACTGAAAATCTGAATACTGACTACTTGATTTTAGGAATTATTCTTCATTACATTTAGGTGAAACTGATATTTTGTTGTTTAAAAGAATAAATACAGTTGATATCTAAGATTTGCTTCAAATATGGGAAAGTGAGTTCTAAACAAGTTATTCATTATATTGTCTGCTTTTGTGGTATATTTGAAATCTTTTATAATTATAAGCAAAAAAAGTGGCAGGCAGTTATTAAAGCACCTAAGTTACTCTGTTTCAAGTAATCTAACCTCCTCTAATAACTCTAACCTTCCACAATGGCTTAATTAATAAAAAAAAAATCTTAACATTAACTCTAAAATTCCATAATTCCTCTTTTGATTCCTACAGGATAATTAAGAGTCAGTGGAGAATATAATAAATAGCTTAATTTCTAGGCTTTTTGTTGTTGTTACAATTTAAGTTCTTATGTAAAAAAAAAAAAAAAAAAAGGTAATTCCATCACAGGCATTTGGCTGAAAACAGGCCCACCACGATTCTCCAGTTGAATATTTCATCTGACTAAGTAATACAAGGCAAGTTCCTCTGCATCTGTTTAACACTCAAGATTTAACATGCTATGGTTGGGGATTTAGCTCAGTGGCACCACGTCTGCCTCGCAAGAGCAAGGTCCTGAGTTCGATTCCCAGTACCAGAAAACAAAACAAAACAAAAAGATTTAACATGCTATTCATTTGCATTGTTGGCAAAAATGTTTCTGTAAAAGGGCAGATATTATTTATTTTAGAAATTACAAGCCATATGGTATAATATCTTACAACTTCTTCACCTGCTTTTGTAATATGAAAGCAGCCGAAGACAATACATAAATGAGCATGGCTGGGTCCCACTAAAGCTTTATTTACAAAAACAAACGGTAGATCAGATTGGCTCATAGGCAAAAGTTTGCTGACCCCTGTGCTCAGGGTTATTAGCTCCTGGTAAGGAATTAAAAAAATAAAAATAAGATTTAGAATACACAATGATAACAAAAACCATCATGTTGAGGATACACGTGTGTACATGAAATACAGTACTTACAGGTGTTTGGATCATCATGGCTCGTTGATCTCTCATGGTTCTTACAATGTCTAGGGGATAAACTGGCTGATTGCATTCAATGAGACACATGGCTGTTTCCATAGTAATAAGAACCCCAGTTCTTCCAATTCCAGCACTTTTAAAAAAGAAAAGTATGGGCAAGTCTTACTGATAATATTGTTAAAATTCTTGTGACTTATATACAGACAAATGAAAGTACTGAGTCATAATATAGAACAATTATGTAGCAAGACAAATTTTTTCTTTATTACACAGCTCTTTTTTATTAGTATAGGTTTGTGATACATAATAATTACATTCATCTAGGGGAATAGGTATGTATACATATTGCATCTTAATAATTTTTGCTCCCCTTTCTCCTCTCCTTCCCCTCTCCCTCCTTCCCCAGATCCCCTTCCCATCACCACAGAGTCTACCTCTTTGTTTCCTATCATCTCTCTTACTTTGCTCTTTATTTACATTTTGGGTTTCATATGTTAGAGAAGCCATGGGATATTTAATCTTCTGTGTCTCATTTATTGCACTTAGCTTTATGGTCTCAAGAACCATCCATCTTCCTACAAATGACTCAAATGTATCTATTATGGCTGAATAGTACTCCATTGTGTATATATACCGTATTTTCTTTATCCTTTCCTCTGCTGATGGGTATAAAGGCCATTTCCATAATTTAGCCATTGTAAATTGTGTTGCGATAATCATGGGTATGCATGTATCAATGTAATATGGCTTTAATGCTTTCAGGAAGAAGAGGTAATAGCTGGGTCAAATGGAGTTTCTGTTTCTTTTTTTTGAGCCCTTGATAATAACCATTCTTAGTGAAATAAGATGGAATCTCAGTGTTGTTTTAATTTTCATTACTCTGATGGCTAAAGATGTTGAGCATTTTTTCATGTATTTATTGGCCATTTGTACTTCTTAGAAGTGCACGTTCATTTCAGTTGCTTGTTTTTCAACTGGGTCTTTTATTTTAGGGACTCAATTTTTTTTTTAGTTCTATACCAGTCTTCTGACCAAGTATACAGCAGTTGGCAAAATTTTTTTCCATTTTGTAGGCTGTCTCTTCACTCTGTTGGTTGTGTACTTTGATGTTCAAAAGATTTTTAAATTTGATATAATATCGTTTGTTGATTCTTAGTATTTTATCTTGTACAATTCAGGTTCTATTCAGAAAGTCCTTGTCTATGCCTATGTTTTCAAAATTTTTCCAGTTTTTTTTTTCCAGCAGATTCAGGGTTTATATATACATATTTTTTTTTTTTGTACCAGGGATCGAATTTGGGACCTTGCGCTTTTGAGGCAGGAGCTGGAACCACTGAGCTAAATCCCTGGCTAGGGTTTATATTTTTATATCTAGGTTTTCAATCCATTTTGATTTTATTTTAGGAAAAGGTGAAAGATATGGATCTAGATTCCATTCTTCTGCACATGGATAACCAGTTTTTCCAGGATTCTTTGTTAATGAGGCTAACTTTTCACCAGCATATGTTGTTGACCCCTTTGTCAAAAATCAGACGGTTTAAGGTGTTTGGGTTGTTTCTACATCCTGTACTGTATTCCACTGGTTAATGTGTCTGTTTTTTTTTGGTACCGGGGATCGAACTTGGGACCTTGCACTTACGAGGCAGGCTGCAGAACCACTGAGCTAAATCCCCGGCCCACGTGTCTGTTTTTGTGCCAGTTCCATGTTATTTTTATTACTGTATCTTTGTATTATAACTTGAAGTCCAGAATTATAATTCCTCCTGCTTTGCCCTTGTTCATGACTGGTCTGGCAATTTTATTTTAGGTCTCTTCTGGGTCTATACAAATTTTAGGATTTCTTTTTTCTAGTTGTGTGGAGAATGCTGTTGGTAATTTTTTTTGGTGCCAGGAATTGAACTCAGGACCTTGTGCTTGCCAGGCAGGCATGGTGCCACTAAGCTAAACCCCTGGCCCGCTCTTGGTATTTTTGATTGGGATTGAATTGACAATATTGTTTCTGTCTGTTGAAGAACAGGGGATGTCTTGCATTTTCTAATGCCTTCAAACTTTTTCAGGGCACTATAGTTTTTGATATAAAGGTCTTTAACTCCTTGGTTGGGATCATTCCTATGTATGTATGCATTTGGAGCTACTGTGAATGGCATTTTTTTTTCCTGATTTCTTTCTTGGTGAGTTCATTGTTGTTGTACAGGAACGACTGATTTTTGTGTATTTATTTTGAATCTTGACACTTTGCTAAATTTTTTTGATTAGTTCTAAGAATCTTCTGATGTAGTTTTTGGGATCTTTTATGTAAAGAATCATGTCATCTGCAAATACAAATAGTTTGACTTCTCCTTTCCTATTTGCATCCATTTATTTCTTTGTCTTGCCTGATTGTTCTAGTCAAAATTTTGAACAGGAACAGTAAGAGTGGAAACCCTTGACTTGTTCATAATTTTAGAGGAAACGTTTTCAGTTGTGCCTCATTTAATATGATGTTGGCAGTGGGTTTGTCATAAATGGCTTTTATTAGTTTATGGGGAGGTCATTATCTACCTATTTTTGTCAGGGTTTGTATTATGAATGGATGGTGGATTTTATCAAAAGTTTTTTCTGTATGCTTTGTGATGATTATGTAACTTTTATCCTTATTTCTATTTATGTGGTATAAATTACTGACTTGCATATGTTGAACCACTCTTATATCCCTGGGATGAGGCCGACTTGGTTAGGATGTTTTGCATCTATTTTCATTGAGGAAATTGGCCGGTAGTTTTCTATTGTTGAGTTCTTGTCCAGTTTTGGTATCAGGATAATGCTAGCTAGCTTCAAGGGATGGGTTTGACTATATTCCTTCCCTATCAGTTTCATGAGAGAATTTAAGTATTGGTGTTAGTTCCTTCCTGAAGTTCTGGTAAAATTCAGCATTGAATCCATTGGGATTTTTAGTTGGTAGGGCTTTTATTTTACTGCTTGTTATAGTCTGTTCAGAGTTCACTGAGACTTCTTGGTTCAGTTTTGGTAATTCATGTGTCTAAGAATTTATCCATTTCTTTCAGATTCTCTAATTTCTTAGAATATAAGTTTTCTAACTAGTTTCTCACAATTCTCTACAAGTCATCTTCTGAAAAGGTATAAACATAATGAGGAACTTCCCTTAAAAATGCAAAATAACAGAATTATAATAAATTAACACATAGGTAAAAGACAATATTTTATACTTTAAATAAGTTAATGTTTTAAACAAAATTTAATTTTAATGAACTTTACCACTGAAAGAGTCAAGAACTCTTCGAAGTCTAATTATTAAACCATGAAACTACTGAATACTTAGGAAAATGAAATGGATAAAAATGTTTTGCCTCTCAAATATTTGGTGTATAATCTGTTTTGATGATTTGAAAATATACACTTAAAATGTCTAGAAGATTTAAAGGTAAAGGATAGCTCAATATATCTTCTAAATACAACACTTAAACATGTGGTTATGTTAGGGAGGAAATAACTTGGCTCCTAATCTTTGGGTCAGTGGCAGTGAAGGTTGTAGTTGATTCTTTCAGGGAAGGGGACACTTGGGTTTGAAGGGAAGGAATGTAGCCTACCATTCTTTACCTAGAGCCCTCGGAATTATGTAATAATATTTGGACGGGTCATTCTAAGAGGTGGGAGTACTCAATGAACATCTTTAAGAGGGGCCACAAGTAAGGAAGGAGTCTCCTACTGGGTGCCTATGTTAGAGCCTGAACATGTGCCTCGAAATTAATATGTTGAAACTTAATCTTCAGTGTGACAATATAAAGAGGTGGGACATGTAGGAATTCATTAAGTGATGAGGACAGAGCCCTCACAGATGGGATTAGGCCACATATAAAAATATGAAAAGGGCTTGAGGGAGTGGTTTCACTTCCCTGTCCCTTCCACCTTTTCTGCTGTATAAAGACATGGCATTTGGCCTCTGGGAGGATGTAGCCATAAGTCACTATCTTGTAAGCAGTCAGCAGTCTTCACCTGATCCCAAATTTGCAAGAGCCTTGAGCTCAGACTTCTCAGTCTTCAGAACTACAAGAAATAAATTTTTGGGGCTGGGGATGTAGCTCAGTGGTGCTGTGCCTGCCTGGTCCTGAGTTCAATCCCTGGTACCAGAAGAAAAAAAAACAGACAGAAAGAAATAAAATTTTGTCCTTCATAAATTATCTAATCTCAGGCATTTTGTTGCAGCACCAAAGAGACAACCTACAACACTGTATTTCATCAGATCTAAATTATAATCCATTGCAAGACATGTTCCAATTTCAGAGATATTAAAAATGAAAAGCTTCAAGAACACCTGAGGAACTTTATGAATACCAAACCAGCACTCCAAAAAAATTTTAAACAATATCCTAGGAAAAGACAATGAGAGTCACAATGCTATGAAGCCCAGCAAAACGAATCCATCAGGCAAGACAAGAAATTAAATGCAAAGGGGACAATCCAACAACAGGAAAAGGTCATGACACGGATAAGTCAATATATATCAGTTATAACCAATGTTAATGGTCTCAATTCACCAATCAAAAGAAACAGATTGGCAGAATGGGTCAAGAAGCAATATCCAACAATATGCTGCATACAAGAAACACACTTAATTCAAAAAGAAACTCATAGACTGAAAATTAAAGAGTGGAAAACAATACTCCATGCGACAGGAAGCTGAAAAAAAGCAGGAGTAGCTATCCTATTTGCAGATCAAATGGATTTCAAACCAACACTAATTAAGAGAAAAAGAAGGCCACTACAACAGCCTTATAAAGGGAACAATCCAAGAGAAAGAGAAGGCAATCATAAATATGTATGCACCAAATACCAGAGCATCCAACTATATAAAACAAATATTAATGGACATGAAAAATCAAATAAGCATTAATACAACAGTAGTGGGGAACTCAATACCACACTGTCACAAATAGATCAACTAGACAGAGAATAAACAACGAAAAACTAGAACTCAATGAAATTCATGAACAAATGCTTAACAAATGTTTATAGCATGTTCCACTCCAAAAAATTAGAATACACATTCTTTTCAGCTGCACATGGGTTGTTCTCCACAATAGTCCACATACTTGCTCACAGAACATATTTAAGTAAATGCAAAGGACATGAAGTTATCCCCTCTATATTATCAGATCATTGTGTGATCAAATTGGAGATCAATAGCAGAAGAAATCACAAGAATTTCACAAACACATGGAAATTGAACACCACACTCCTGAACAACCAATGAATCACAGAGGAAATTAAAAAAGAAATCAGTTTCTGCAATTAAATGCCAATGCCAATATAACATTGGAATTTATAGGACACAATGAAAGCAGTCTTATGAGGGAAATTCATAGCAGTGAATAATCATATTAGGAAAACAGTGAGCTCAAATAAACAACCTAATGCTGAACCTCAAGCTTCCAGAAAAAGAAGAGCAGGACAAACCCAAAGCTCATAAAAGGGAGGAAATTCAAGGGGTAAAGGAAAAGGGAAAGTGGGAGGGGTAGAGGAAAGGAAAGAAGGGAATGGAATTAATATGAGAAAATGAAAAAAATGGAAATAAAGTCTTTGTAAATATGGAGGGGCGGAGGGACTGAAGGGAGGGCAGGGGAATGGGGAAAAAATAAGAACCAAGATACAGTATGTAAAGGCGCAAATTTCCAATGATGAATGTCATTATATTGTATACCTAAAATGTACCAATAAACTTAATAATATAAAAAGGGAGGAAATTATAAAGATCAGAGCAGAAATCAATGTAATAGTAAGACAATGATACAAAAAAATCAATGAAGCAAAGAGTTGGTTCTTCGAAAGAATAAAAACTGACAAACTCTTAGCCAACCTTATCAAAAAAAGGAAAGAAAACACCCAAATCCATGCAATTAAGAATAAAAAGGGTAAAATTACAAGGGACCCAGCAGAAACACAGAGGATCCATCCATACCTATTTTGAGAACATATATGCCAATAAGATCGAACAAAAGAAATGGACAGATTTCTAGATACATACAAATTACCAAAGATGAACGAAGAAGACCTAAAAATTCTAAACAATCCCATATCAATCAACGAAATTGAAAAAGTAATTAAAAACTTAATGAAAAAAGCCCAGGTCCTGATACTTCACTGCTGAATTCTACAAGACATTTAGAGAAGAACTACTGCCCCTACTGTTTAAACTCTTCAATGAAATTGAAAGGGAAGCAATACTCCCAAATTCATTCCTGGAAGTAAGCATCACCTTGATCCCCAGAGAAAGGCCCAACCTAAAAGGAGAACTATAGGCCAACCTCACTAGTGAACACAGATGCAAAAATCCTTAATAAGATACTGGCAAATAGAATGCAGATCAACAAGAAGATCATACATCCTGACCAAGTGGGATTCCTCCCAGGGAAGCAGGGATGGTTTAACATATGGAAATCAATAAATGTAATACACTATATTAACAGAGCCAAGGACAAAAACCACATGATCATCTCAATAGATGTAGAAAAAGCGCTCAACAAAATCAGACACCCATTCATGATAAAAACCCTACAGAAAATTGTACTAAATGGTCTTTATCTTAACCTGATAAAAGCCATCTATGAAAAGCCAACAGCAAAAATCATACATAAACAACATTATCAATGGTCGAAAACTGAAAATTTTCACACTAAAATCAGGAACAAGACAAGAATGCCCACTATCACCACTCCTGTTCAATATAGTTCTGGAAACATTAGCCACAGCAATTAGACAAGACAAAGAAATAAAAGGAATGCAGATAGGAAACGTAGAAGTTAAATTGTCATTATTTGCAGATGACATGATACTCTCATATAGAAGACCCCAAGAACTCCACCAAAAGTCTTCTAGACTTAATAACCAAATTCAGTAGAGTAGTTGGATACAAAGTCAACACACAAAAATCAACAGCTTTCCTATACACAAACAAAACTCACTGAGAGAGGAACTGAAGAAACAACTCCTTTCACAATAGCATCCAAAATACTGAAATACCTAGGAATCAACCTAATGAAAGAAATCAAAGACCTCTACTCTGTAAACTACAGCACTCTGAAAAAAGAGATCAAAGAGGATATCAGAAAATGGAAAGACATCCCTTGCTCCAGGGTAGGAAGAACCAATATAGGGAAAAGGGCCACACTTCCAAAACTGCTACACAGATTCAATGCCATCCCAATTGAAATTCTAACAATTCATAGACCTTGAGAAAACAATCCAAAAATTCATTTGGAATAAGAAGAGATATAGAATATCAAAAGAAATTGTAGGTAACAAAGATAAGATAGGGGTATCACGATTCTCAACTTGAAACTATATTATAAAGCTACTGTGATAAAAACAGCATGGTACCAGCAAAGCAAACAGACCAGAGGATCAGAGGAACTGATTAGAAGATGCAGAAACAACTCCAGACATACTCAGCCATCTCATCTTTGACAAAGCAGCCAAACACCCTCGGTGTTTCTCGAGAAAAGATAGCCTCTTTAAGAAATAATGCTAGAAAAATTGGGTTTCAACTTGCCAAAGATTAAAACTAGACCTATGTTTCTCACCATGCACTAAACTAAAATTGAAATGGATCAAAGATCTAAATATTAAAACAGAAACACTAAACCAGCTGAAGAGAGGTTAGGCAGAACTCTTTAGATATTGGCATAGGAAAAGATTTCATGAACAAAACCTCAGTCACACGGAACTAGCACAAGCAGTCAACAATTGGGATCTCACCTTATTAAAAAGCTTCTGTATAAGAGAAACCACCAGCAGAATGAAGAGAAAACTCACAATATGGAGAAAAATTTTTACCAGCTCTTCCTCAAAGGCCTACTATCTAAAATATATAAAGAACTTAAAAAAGAAATCAGATCCCCCAAATTTAAAGATCCAATCCAAAAATGGGCATCTGAAATGAAGATATTTCTCAGACAAAAAAGTAGAAACAGCAAATAAACATTAAAAAATGTTCAACATCACTGATCATTTGAGATGCAAATAAAAACAATGCTGAGATTCCACCTCACTCCAGAAAGAATGGCTGTTATGAAATTAACCAATAACAAATGCTGGCGGGGCTGTGGGGTAAGAGAAACCCTTCTCCACTGTTGGTGGGAGTGTAGACTAGTGCAACCACTGTGGAAATCAGTATGGAGATACCTCAAAGAACTAGTACTAGAGGTCCCATTTGACCCAGCTATTCCCCTTCTGGGTATCTTCTTAAAAGAATTAAAAGAATGGGCTGGGGATTTAGCTCAGTGGTTTCACCACCTGCTGTGCAAGCGGAAGGACCCGAGTTCGATCCCCAGTACCAAAAAACAAACAAAAGAATCATACCACAGTGATATATGTGTACCCATATTTATAGTGGCACAGTCTGTAATAGCTAAAACTTGGAAACAGCCCTATTTGCCATCAACTGGAGACTGGATAAAGAAAATTTGGTCTTTTTTGGTACCAGGGATTGAACTCGGCTCTTTCCACTTGTGAGTCAGGTGGCATCACCACTGAGCTAAATCTCCAGTCCCGAATGTGTTTTTTTAAATAAAATGGAGTACTACTCAGCCATAAAGAATGAGAAATTAGAGACATTTATAGCTAAATGGATGCACTTAAGAGGCCATGCTCTTAAGTGAAATAAATACAACATACATGTGTAAATACCGAATAGTTTCTCTGGTGTGAAAAACTGAAAGTGTTAATAAGGATCAAAAGGCATAATAGAGAATGAGAAGCAGGAAGAAAAGGGGCAAAGTGGAAGAGGATGGTGGAGAGGTAGGGGAAAGGAAAGAAGGTAAAGGAATAAATTTGAGAAAAGGAAAAAACAGAAACAAAGTCTTTGTAAACAGGGAGGGCAGGGGAAGGGGGAAAAAAATAAGAACCAAGATACATCATGTAAAGGCACAAATTTCCAATGATGAGTGTCATCATATTGTATACCTAAAATGTACCAATAAACTTAATGAATAAAAAAATGAAAAGCTTCTAAAAAAAAAAATCAGTGGAGTAGTTTTATCTTATTTTTGTAGTACTAGGGATTAAAACCAGGGCCTCTGCACTGAGCTGGATTCATAGGCCTTTTTATTTTATTTTATAAATTTTGAGACAGAGTCTTGCTAAGTTGCTAAGGTGCCTAGGCTGGTCTCGAATTTGTGATCTTGTTGCTTCAGGCTCCCTAAGCAATGGGATTACAGTTGTGCATCACCATACCCCATTAATATGTATTATTTATCTCTTATCATAAAGTTTCTGCCAATTTTTATGTTAGAATATCTTCTTTGCCTTCTATCTTCAGAGCTCAGTTTTTGAGTTGTCAATAATAATTACAATACAAAGACAAAATAATGTACATATGATATTTTAAACATGATCTATCTTGTCATTTATTCATTCATAAAAGACAGGAAATATAATACCTGCAATGAACAACAACAGGTTCTTCTTTTCCAGCCCTCTTATTTCGTACATGACACACAAAGTTCAAAAAGTCACTTGAATCATCAGGGACTCCATGGTCAGGCCAGGCTACGTACTGGATCTGAGTGAGTTGACGACTTTCATTTTTCTAAGTGCAAAAGAAAAATTATGCACCTTGACTTAGGAGTTACCATTATAAATAAATATAATACTCATGTTATTTTAATTTCAGAAGGAAAGAAAAACCAACTACCCCCTCCCAATAATGTATAAATCCACTAAAACCCTACATTTCAACAACAACAAAAAACATACTATTTTATTTAATTAATTAATTAATTTACTTTTGAGACAGGGTCTCATTATATAGTTCAAGCTGTCCTTAATTTTCATGGCAATCCTTCTCCCTCAGACTCCCCATTGCTGGGATTGCAGGTACATGTCACCACATCTAGCTAAGAAGCAATTTTATAGAAATAGTTGTATATATTTAAGTATTGGCTATTACCACTATTCTCTCCATATCTCAATTTCTATATTGTTTTTTAAAAGATGATTATAAAGTAAACAGGCAAAAATAAATTAAGATCCAGAGAAATGCTTAAAGATTAACTACAGAACCATTAGGTGAGCAAGAGTGGTAAAATAAACATTTTTTTTGTGAATAAAACTGGCCTAATCCTGACAGGACAGAGATGAAATTTTAGAAAAAATATCTTCAAATAAATATAGATTAAAGCTGGAGGTGATAAACCAGGCATGGTGGTCACAAATACAAACCTAGGCTGAACAATTTAGCGACTGAGATCCTGTCTCAAAATAAAAACAGGCTGGGGATGTAGCTCAGTGTGAAGACACTGGGTTCAATCCCCAGTAAATAAAAAAACATACATACACACATATTGGAGGAGATCATAAAAACATGAAGCCAATGATGGGTACTATGAAGCGAGACTAAAAGCACTGGATTTAGATACATCTTGACTCAAATCATGACTTGTCTGGTTACAGCATGCAATAATTTCAGTCTTAATTCCTTCACTTGAAAAATGAAATGACATTTATACCTCTATAACCCATCAATCTTATGTTGAAAAGACTCCACGAGAACATCTGTATATTACTCAGCTACTTGGCATCCTATGTTCAGTAACAGGTCATTCAAAATTATGAAGTCATTTTTCATTATCTATTTGGGAAATATCTTATTGGCTTGATCTGTGACATTAGACCATGAGCTACACAGAGTTTATGCCCCCAAGTCTGAAATTCCTCCTCATTTGAATGAAATTTAACTTTTTAACTCTATAGTCACTTTAGCATCATCAATGCCAGTTTCCTTTTTCTTAAATTAGCACAACTTCTAGCTCCTTTCCTTGTGGTCAGAAAGGCCCTGTCTCACTGGTCTCCTGTAAGCATATCCTTAGAGTATGGGTGAATTCTCATTTCCAAAGGCTTAACTTTTGATGGGAGAGGAATGGACTTTCACAGCCTAGTTGTTTCCTCTGCAGCAGTTACTTCCTTCTTTTAGCCCTTTTCAAAATCACAGGTGGATGGCAAGGGAACATCTAGCTGTGGGCAATGAATGTGGAGTACACAGTCTCTAGCAGCCTGTCAGTACTAAAACCACTGTGCCTTCTACATACATCTTTCAGTAGAGACAGTGAGTCATCATTATTAATCAGGTTCCATTTTTGGCTTTGGAAGCTCAGGTGAGTGACCCAGCTAGAATTAAGAGCTGGCAGTTAGAAAGCTCCAACATATCTGTCGTCAAAGGTCTTACTTATGACTTTTTCTTTCTTGATATTGAGGGGATTATGAAGTTGCTATCCTTTTCTCTTTTAAAAAATGATACCCTTCAATTATTTTTTTCTATTTCCACAGACATACCCAAATACTCTACTGTTAGCACTTGGAATAAGAATTTTTTTTATACTCAAATACATTCCTTGTATAATAGCTATGGATAGGCAAAGTACTAGTAAGTATTATTTACCAGACTCCTTTCTCACTGACTACTCATATTTAGTGGCAGAAATGGAAATACATTTATTACGACACAGGGGAATATCCTTCATAAAATTCCAAAGTATTGCACTGAAGCAGACAAATATTTCAGTAATTTTTAAATGTTTCAGGCTAAAAACATTTTCAACATTCAATATCTATCTTGAACACAACAGCTCTAATGAATGACATCCTACTTTTTTTACCTCTTGGTTAAATAGTGTCATCTTCCTGAAGATATAAGCAGAGTTTCCTTCTTCGGAGTGGCAGGTGACTTGGTAACATCCATAGGATGAACTTCCCCTGGGTTCTGGCCAGTACTGGTGACATTTAACCTGATATCAATAAAATTAAACAAAGATTCTTCAATTTTTAAAATGTTTAAAATTAAACAAAGGTTCTCCAATTTTTAAAATGTTTTAAGTTTTAAGAACTTTTAAACTTACAAATAGGTGCAAGAATAATTTAATGAATTTTCTTATACTCCTCACCTCAATCTGCCAACTACTACTATTTTTTTCTGTGTAATTTTTTTTTACCCTTTGTACAAGTAATCCAGTCATAATTTGTAAATATCCTGATTAAATTTCTAACATTCTTTTTGAGCTGGAGATTGAACCCAGAGTCTCTGAGCTACACTACTAACTCATTTAAAAACATTTTATTAGCTTTAATGACATACAATTCATGATCATACAGCCACTCATTTAAAGTATATAACTTTTCAGTATATTCAGTTATGCAACCATTACCACAATCACTTTTAGAATATTTTTCCTATAACCCCCAAAATCCCTATAATTCATAAGTAGTCATTGTGTATTACATACCCTATCCAATCTCCTTTCTCCAGCCTAGACCTAGGCAACCACTAATCTGCTTTCTGCCCCTATGGAACTGTCTATTCTGAATAGTTCCTATTAATGGAATCATACAATATGTTGTCTTTTTTTTGTTCAACTTTTTTCACTCCACATTTTTCAGAGTTACCATATTGTAGCATATATTGTTGTTTTTTATTGCCAAAAATATTGAACTATATAAATATAATCAGATTTTATTTGATATACATTATTTTCACTTTTTGGCTAAGATGAATAATGCTGGTATGAATGCTTGTGAACAAAAAAAAAATCTGTATTTGAGACAAGTCCTCATTATCTAGTCCAGGCTGGCCTCAAACTTGACATACACTCCAGAGGGGTCTTGAACTCACAACCTTCCTGCCTCAATGTGCCATGACGTCTGGCTTTATGAACAAATTTTTCTGTGGACGTATGTTATCAATTTTCTTGGGTAGATCTAGGAATGAAACTGCTAAGTTACAGTAATTCTATGTTTAACCTTCTGAGGAACTTCCAGACTTTTTCAAAGTAACTGTACTGTTTACAAATCCACAAGCAGTGTATGAGGTTCCGTTTTCTCCACATCATAAACAACACTTTCATTATCTGTCATTTCTACGTAAGCTACTGATATGAAGTGGTATCTCACTCTCATTTTGATTTGCGTTTCTCTGATCACTAATGATACCTATTCAAATAGTCCCCCCCCCTTTAATTTAGTTGTCATTTTATTGTAAAGCTGTAAGAGTTCTGTATATACAATGATGCCTGGGTTCACAAATTTGATTCTTTCCATGATTCTGGTCACAAACCAAGTTGAATGAGAACCAAATCAAATTCAATGGTTAGGTTGAGTGTTGACCTTATGGGGAAATTTGATTCAGTTTTTGTTAAGTTTGGTTTGCAACCAGAATCATGGAGAGAATGAGTTTGTGAACTGAGGTATCAACTCACTGTATTGTAGACACAAGCCCATTAGATATACATTCATTCTTTTTATTTTTTAGACAGGATTTCAATAAGTTATTAAGTTGTCCAGACTGGGCTCCATCTTGGAGGTTGTCTCAGCCTCCCAGAGTGATGGGACCACAAGCATGGGCCACCATGCCCAGCTACATTAATCCTTTTAAATAATAACAATGGTTTTTATGTCACATTTATCATGTATTAGTCAGTTTTATGAGTAAACCATGATGATTCATATCATAAAACCATAAGAAAATCAAAATGTTACAAAAGATTAATCAATGTGAATATTTTGATTATATATACAATGTAATTTGAAAAAAGTCCAAGCAGTATGTGAGATTCAACTATGACTTACTCTACCACGTTCAACTTGTGTGGTCAACATTACAACCACAGAGGAGCCTTGTTCCCAAGTCATCTGCCAAAAATCTGTGCAAGTATGCGGTAATGGCCCTTGACAAGCAATGTACTGATTAATAATACTTGAAGAAGGAATTTCCATCTAAAATGAAAAGGACATTAGAGTAAAATCTTTTGCAGTATATGATTTTACTATGATTGGGAATATGAAAACCATCTACTAACTTATTGTTAAATTGAACATGACTAATCTCAATAAACTATAATCAGCAAAACAATCTTCAACAATTTTATCTGTACAAGAAATTTCTTGGCAATACCTAATAGTTATACATATTTATTTTTCAATTAGTAGAAAGAGGAATTTAAATATAAATATTTTTCAAAACAATATTATGATTTTAAAAGCAGCTCTATGGAGAATCCTGTTTCAGAAACAGAGAATAAAGAAATAAAGAATGCCCACCTGTAAGTAGTTTATTGGTAAATTTTATAAGGATAAAAATTTCTGCCACATGTTGTTTGAGCTTGGATTTTGCATATAAAACAACTTTAAGGGATATTTAAACTCATAGTTTTCAAAACAAGGTAAGACAATGAGTATTTGTGGATGATGAGTCATCATTTTACTACATTTGAGACTGAAAATAAAAAAGTGATACATGCACAGTTGATTCAAAGAATACTCAGGGGAAGAGAGAAAGAAGTCTTTCTCCCATCCCATCCTCTAGGTAACACCCAGGAGGGCAATCATTTTCCCCAGTTTTTAATATACTCTTTCAGAGATATACTAAACACAGCCCACAGGTGTACATGTAAAAATATCTTGTTTTTCTGTAAAACTATTTAAAAAGTGGTAGCTCATTATGTTTGACATCTTATTTTTTCTGAGGTTATGTCAAATCAATATCTGTAATTTCATTCTTTTAAATGGCTTTTCTGGATAAAATACACTATAACTTATTTAAAAGACATTTAAGTAGTGCTTTTCTCTTTGCTAACAATAACCAGAGCCTAATATTTCTGTGCAAACATAAATATATCTGTAAGGGCAACAGAAATAAACAAGAATACTGGATAATAATAATAATGATTAATATATAATTTTGCTACCGAAAGGGGTTCTTCCAATTTGTGCTTCTACCAAGAATGTACAGGAATACTTTTTTCCTCATACTTGTTAATATATAAATAATTGCTTGTGCACAATTCTGAAATTTTCAAATATCTGAACTTTAAGACTTTTACCTGACCCAGGCTCATATGACTGCAAAACTTGACCTTCACTTGACCTAAGATTATTTACATTCTTTATTAGTCCCACTTAGTTGGGATGTCTATAGTTTGTTGTGGATGGTGTAAGTATATTGATACTTGTTACAGGGCACTTGTCCCATAATCTAGAGATGTTACTTATTACAGTATATGTGTAATGAACTGAGTAACCTTTTAGAAGCCCAAAAATGCTCTCAAAGCATATGTGACCCCAAGGTTTCAGACAAAGGGTGTGGACCTGTAATATAGTACCATCAAATTTTAATCTTTCAGTTTCCTAGGTGAAAACCCAGTAATTCTTGCTATTTTGATTTACATTTTCCTTTTTTGTAAATTAAGTGTACTTTTAATTGTTTGATATTGTTTTTCAAAGTGTTATAACGCTACTATGGTTTTGCTAAAAACAACAACAACAAAAAGCCCTGATTAGAGTAACATATTAAAGCAGTCTATCCTCAGTCAAATTTTGCATCTGCAAATTTGACCACTTGCTAAGATTTATATATAACCTCAAGACAGTTGTAGGTCAATTTGGTCATTTAAAAGTATGCTCAGAGCAGTGAAAAATCTGAGCCAACAGACATGCGTATTTCCAGCTGATGACAGAGAAGGCAACTCTGTGCTTCTGGTTTCAAATGTCATCCTGTAAACAAGTGGCTTTTTGCAGGGTAGGTAGTGCCACATTTTTCACATTTTTGTGTTTTTTGTTGGTGATTTCACTGTTTACAAACACAGTGTTGAAATGCTGCCTAGTGTTACTAAGTGGAAGAAAGCTGTGATGTGCTTCATGTAGAAATGTGTTAGAGATAAGCTTCCTTTAGGTATAAGTTCAGTGTGAAAATGAATCAACAATATATATTAAATAAGGTGTCTTTAAACAGAAACAAATCTATGTATTGATCAGTTGGTGAAAATACTGTGCCTAGAGGCTTCTGGGAACCTGTATGTTATTTCAGAACTAATAATTATTATTCACTAATTCAGTATTTGCAAAGACTTCATGCATCATAACTACTTTAAATAATGAGAACTGTCTGTATTTACAAATAAAGTGATGTATTCGAGCTTAAAAAATACTTTACAGAGTAATGCTTAGATGAAATAAGATTGGCCATTTGTTGACAGCTGTTGAAGCTGGATGACAGATACATGATAGACTTTTTTTTTTGGTACGAGGGATCGAACTCTGGTCCTTGAGCTTGTGAGGCGGGTGGCAGTACCACTGAACGAAATCCCCAGCCCCTATGATAGATTCTTTATACTATACTTTTATACATTTGAAAAGTCATGAAATTTAAAATATCATTCGCATTTCCTTTTCTTTGAATTGTTTTTCAATGTCCTACGCCATTATTTTAACCAGTCTTTGTTTTGGTAAATCATTTATTGAGTTCATTGTACAATGACTAAATAAGCTTTTTAAAATATTTTTAAGAGTCTATTGTTAGATTTCAGTACTTTCTAATCATACAAAAAATTTAAAAATTTACATTGACAAATTCATCAATTGTTTCTTTTTAGTGTAGATACATACCTAAGCTTAGAAAGATCTTCTCCCTTCTGAAATATTAACCAATTTTCACAGATTTCTTCAAGTATTTTCACAGTTTGTTTTTGAAATTGGGTCTTGTTATAAATTTAGAGTTCAGGCTGACTTGAACTCACTATGAAGGCCAGGCTGGCCTCAAAGTTGTGATCCTCCTGCCTTATCCTCCCAACTGCTGGGATTACAGACATGCACCACCACACTGAGCTCAAGACAATCTCATTTTTATATCTGTATTTTGATATGTTTTGAATATAATATCTAGAGCATGTGAAATATTTATAGGTAAATGATATATAGATCTGCTTCAAAACAATTTGGATTTGAGGATATAGATGAAATAAAACTGGCCAGGAGTTAAAAACTACTGAAGCTGAATGATGTGTGTGTGTACATGTGTGTGTGTGTGTGTATAAAGGTTTTATTTTTGGCTCTAAATTTTGTACACTTGAAAATTTTTACATTTCACAATTAAGAAAAAGATAGTGAGCCATTCCTCTCAACTCCCCAGTTTGGGGGGGGGGGGGGATGTGCTCTTTACAAATGATATATTGTATATACTTGACTCAACCCATTAACTACATGGCCTATTTCACCTGCAATGATTTAAAAGGGCACTTCTACTGTACACAAAGTTCTTTTTTTTTTTTTGGTACCAGGGATCAAACTCGGGTCCTTGCGCTTGCGAGGCAGGCGGTGAAACCACTGAGCTAAATCCCTGGCCCCACAAAGTTCTAATATTCAGTTCTGTCTAAGTTCTATTATTCTGGACTGGGCTATTCTGTTATACTTCTCTACCTGTGTATTATATACAAGTACCGAACAAGTTTCTTTAACATTACTTTGGTAATTTTTCAGTATCTGGAGTTTAAATTTTCTATTAAGGTTAGGCTCTCAAAAAAGGGCATTAATCTCAAAATTTATAGTGGCTCTCTATTTCAAACAACAAAACATAACAAAAATAATCACTTACATTTATATAGTTTGCATTGATGTAGTCTTCATTACCTTTTAAAATGACCCGTGTAGCATCATCTGAAAAAATTTCAAAGAAATAATGAGATTTTTTGTTTTTGGTGCTGGGGATTGATCCAGGGTCTTGTACATGCTAAACACACATTCCACCATCCCCAGCCTAGAAACAACATTTTAATACATTTTTGTTAAAAAAAAAATTAAATTTAACAGAGATGACAGATACTTACAAGGCGAAATATCTCTGTATCTATTTTTGGAAATATTCTGAGGTAATTTGGCACAAGACATTGTCATTCCAGGTTTTTTCCGATATAGTTGCTTAAAAAAGAAAGTATCAGTTGAATAAGCCATCAAAAATTTGTTTTGTTTTATAGACTTGTTTGTATACTAACAGGAAACAGTTTTTTTGTCCTTTGAATATTTCATCTACACAATGAGGTACTAATAATACACAGAGCACTGAAACAGAATTGCAAGCCTGAATTCTGCAGCTTCTCATGTGAATTATATACCATATTTTGAAAAATGATAAAACAAGTGTAAACAATTTTGCTTATACTAGAGGCACCTGCAGTTTTAAAGAACACGAACTAAGAACTTTATAGAAGAAAAATTGACATGTGCCTTGCACATTTTATAACTGCAATAACTTCTCTATAACATAAACTTCAGAGCAACAAATATGACAGCAATTTTGAAAAACACACTAAAAACCTTTCAGTTTTATTAAATAAACAAGTTCACACATTCCAAATATAGCATTTCAAAATCCATGGTATGCTCATCAAGCAAAATACCACTTACAGCATTCAAGAAGCATTCTTGTCAATCTGCCCACCCTTTCTTCCTTTTCCTTCCTTTCCAAGTACTGGGGATTGAACCCAGGGCCTCTGCACTAAGCTATATCCCCAACCCTTTTTAATTTTGAGATAGGATCTTGCTAAATCAGTAAGTTGCCCAGCCTGGGCTCAAACTTGCAATCCTCCTGCCTCAGCCTCTCAAGAGTGCTTGGATTACAGGCATGCACAATTACACTGGGCTGCATTCTATTCTTCCGATACAGTGACTGAGAATTTTCAAGAGTGCACTGACAAAAATTAGAGAAAGATTAAATCTGACAACGTGCAAACTCCAAATATGTAAGTTGTTTTCCTATAACTCAGGATTTTTAAGTCAACAGTATGCTTTCAAAAAAACAGCTACTTAATTATAGAAGAAAATTTACTTTGATGATATATATATATATGAAATTTCGTTATCGCCATAAAGACATTTATTTATGTAACTATAACTATTATAGCTATTATGGGAGCAATTTAAACAACTCTCGATTTTGGAACTCTTTCTATGTAAAACATTTCTTGGGACATCACTTTAGTTTATAAATTATAATGGATAGTAGATCACACAGTTAAGAAGCCATGAAGCGAGCCTGCACCCCGGCAACAATCCAGTGGATCCATTCCCCCCTCCCCCCCGGCCCGCGCTCCTCTCTACAGCCACCTGGTTCCACACTACAAAGATGCAGAGGACACCAGACCACCAGACCACGGTACTGAGTCCCACTGCTCCCAGCCTAGAGGTAGGGGCTTCTGAGCCATCGTCCCACTGCTCCTGGTCCAGAGGAAGGGGCTTCCCGGTCACCATGCCTCCCGCTGCTCCCAGCCCAGAGGAAAGGGCTTTTGGGCAACCTTCTGTCCCGCTGCTCCTGGCCCAGAGGAAGGGGCTTCTGGGCCACCATCCCTCCCACTGCTCCCGGGCCAGAGGTAGGGACTTCTGAGCCACAATCCCACTGCTCGTGGTCCAGAGGAAGGGGCTTCCTGGCCACCATCCCTCCCGCTGCTCCCAGCCCACAGGAAAGGGCTTTTGGGCCACCATCCCTA